TTTCTGTGATTTTACTCTGAGTACAGAAACAGCAATGGGAGCTTCTACTGCTTCTGCTGCCATATAAAGTGAACTTGTGCAATTGTATAACAGTGCCAAAGTCATGCTCATTTACATATTTTTATACATTTGCACATAGATTGCATGTGATTGATTTTGCAAACCTGTGCTCTTCTCAGGTTCCTTTTTGTCAAAGAAAAGGCTCAGGTGCTTCTAGTCATCAGACACTATTCTCTTGACATATTGTGTTATACATTGCATTATACTGATGAATATATTCTTGGAGGTGTGGAAAGCCACAGAGATGGCCTTGCAAAGACTATGTGGAAACAAATTATGTTTGAAGCCTGGGAAATGAAGAAAACAGCCAATCACATTACTTAGCATGCCCTTCAAAGGCATTATAAGATGCCACCAGAAGCAGCAGAATTAGAATATTAGAACTAACAAATGTTGTTACTATAGGGTTTTCTACAGACATAAGGATGAATGGCTATTACTTCATCTCAGCTGCAGAGAAAAGCCCATAGCTAGAATCTACAATCTAATTTGACATGTATTCCTGTAAACATCATTTTGACATGTATTCCTGTAAACATCATATTAATAGGTCAATAGGATGTAAAATATCATAGTCACATACTTATTCATTAAAAGACTTTGCTTTAATCCAGGCCTATACAACATGTAGAAGTAAAGTGCCATACTGATAAAAATCATTGTGAGCCAGGGTTTATAACAGGAAGGTATATGAAAAACAATGTTAGACAAATTATTAATTTATTAGAATACTTAGATAAGAACAACCAAGTTTCTGCAGGGCTCATATTTTTAGATGCTGAAAAAGCATTTGACCAACTGAATTGGCATTTTATGCTAAGAGTAATGGAAGAAATGAATTTTGGTGAAAACATATTACAAGCTCTTAAGGTAATATATCAAAAACAAACAGCACAACTTATTGTTAATGGAGGTTTGTCGGAGGTTTTTACAATAGAGAAAGGTACTAGACAGGGGTGTCCTTTATCGCCATTGTTGTTTGTTTTAACATTGGAAATATTATTGATCAAAATTCGAGAGTCTCAGGAAATTAAAGGAATATATGTTAATAAAAAAGAATATAAGTTGAGAGCTTTTGCGGATGACTTGGTTGTTACTTTGTCGCAACCTGATTATTCTGTAGTAAACTTATTACAGTTGATTCACCATTATGGTTTGGTCTCGGGTTTTAAGATTAATGTAAATAAGACTAAAATTTTACCTAAAAATATGTCGAGTCAGGAGAAGCAGATTTTGGTTAACTCGACGGGTTTTGAGATTGTTAATAAGGTAAAATATTTGGGGGTGATGCTGTCTGTTTCTAATGCAAAATTATTTAAAAATAATTATGAAAGGTTGTGGGTCAGGGTACAGAAAGACTTGAAAAACTGGGAAAAGCTGCAATTATCCCTCATGGGAAGAATTGCAGTGATAAAAATGAATATTCTACCCAAGTTTCTTTTCTTGTTTCAAATGTTACCAATTTTGAAAAATGAGATTAATTTAAATGAGTGGCAGAAGGGTCTTAATAAATTTATTTGGGCAGGGAAAAAACCAAGGGTTAAGTTCAAAATTATGCAAGACTTCCGTGAGAGGGGCGGACTCAAGGTACCAAATTTGAAATTATATTATGATGCGGTGGTTTTAACATTAATTAGTGACTGGGTAAATTTGACAAACTCTGAGATACTTTATCTAGAGGGATGGGATTTACTTTATGGGTGGCATGCCTATTTAATATTTAATAAAAAAATAGATTGGGCTTTTAAATCTCATATTTTAAGAATTTCTTTACTTAGGATCTGGAGAAAATATTATAAAAGTGATTTTAAAGTACCATTATGGGCTATACCTTGGCATGCGATAGAAGGAATAAAAAGAGGGGTTAAAATGGATATGGTGTCTTATAGACAGTTACTTAAATGGGATGGACAAAACTGGCAATTAAAATCACGGGAAGAATTAGCACAAGAAAATTTTACTTATTCTTGGTTCCAATATAGGCAACTACTAGATAGATGGAAGATGGATTGTAAGGTGGGTTTTCTTAGAGAAGATGAAAATCTTATTAAGCAACTGAAGGATCAAAGACAAACCCACATTAAGAGAATTTATGGGGTTTTAGTTGAATTGGACTCAGAAACGGAAGTAATTAAAGATTGTATGATTAGATGGGCGCAGAACTTTGGTGAGCCAGTTTCATTGGACACCTGGGAAATTATTTGGGTGAGAAATGTCAAATTTACTCAAGCACAGAATTTAAGGGAGAATTTTTATAAAATGTTTTATAGATGGCACCTTGATCCACAAAAAATGTCTTACATGTACCCTGACGTGCAACCTAAATGCTGGAGATGTGGTTATAAGGAGGCTTCCTATTATCATATTTGGTGGTCATGCAGAGAGATAAAAGCATTTTGGATCAAAATATGGTGGAATATCCAGAGAATTTTTAGAAGGAGGGTAAAATTTACTCCGCAATTATTTTTGTTAGGTATTGTTACAGATTGTGATACAAAGGAGGTTGTATTGATGTTAAATTTGATCACAGCCGCGAGGCTGTTAGTTGGACAATATTGGAAGAAGGAATCTTTGCCTACATTGCAGGAATGGTTTTTTAAAGTAGCTTATCTGGCGGAAATGGCAAAGATTTCGGCTTTCTTAAAGCAACAAACGCAAGAGAAGTTTTTTGCTATCTGGGACAAATGGATAAAATTTATACAATTTAGATTGGGTATACAAAAATATCATATAGCTTTTTCATAAGTTTTATTTTTATATATATTATAGATATCTTTTTTATATATATAAACATTTATATAAACATAAAGTTTTTAATTTAATTTTTATTTTTTTTTTTTATTATTTCTTAAGCCTATATTCTGCTCTGGGAAGCTCAGGGGGGGGGAAGGGAGGGTTTTTGGGAGGGGTGTGGGGTGGGTTTTTTTTTTTTTTTTATATATGTATTGTTTAATTTTTTTTCTTTTGTATATGTTGTTTTTTGTTTTGTATTGTTCTTGTTTTTCTTGTAAAATTTATAAAACTTTTAATTAAAAAAAAAAAAAAATCATTGTGAGCCACAAAGAATCACTGACCTACCAATTGGCTGTTTTGCAGCTATGGAACTATCAGCATCAATGGGTTTTTATTAATCTGCCTGAGCCCTAAGATATCTGGCTAGATCAGTCCAATTCATCTGAACTCATCTTTCTTATAACTCTAAGAACTCATCCAGTTTGGGGTAAGCTCAGATCTGCTGATTTCTTCCCACAAAGGAATGAGTAAATTGTTTCCATGGAAGGGGAAATCTCCATCCCTGGGAATTGTCACTGAAGTTTGCTTGCTGGGATGAGATTACCAAGAGCACATCAAAGCCAATCTGACACTTGGCTGCAATTTGTAAAGAAAAGGCTGGTCCAGCTATCTATGTGAGCTGTCCTGGTACATTTCACCCACAGGGGAAGGACAAGCTGAAATGAAAGAACAAGTATAGAATGACCATAAGAAGGATGCAAGACCTGAGATCCAGGACTACAAAATAATCTTCCTAGTTGGAATTTAGAGGCATATCAATCCCACATTACAACTCTACTTATGATTCTTTATCATTCATCCTGGGAGAAGTATGAATCAGCTGCTGAGGACTGGGAGTAGAGATATATGTTTTGGTGCTCTCTGAACTATATTGCAGGAATCCAGAATTCAGAAAAAGAGAAAGAATATTTCCCCAAAAAAACTTTCCCAGCATCTAGCTTCCATGTATATGAGAAATAGCATAGGAAATCTTGACTTCAAATATCTCATATCACATAACATTCTAGACCCTGCCCAGGTTAGGGAGAATGATTAATGAATGCTTTTTTTCCCTGATAGCTGGTGACATTTGTAGGGAGTAGAAACAAAGCAAATCACTTTTCTTAACTTGTCATGTAATAAGTCTGTAGGGTAGTACAACTCCCTGGCCTTGTTACTGAGGCAGAAAAGGAAATACTTTCTGCCACTTGAATATTGGAGGTAAGAATTTTATCGTGGCTAGAAGAAAGAATCCTTAGATGATCAAAACATAGTTTGATGTTATATACTAGATGCAATTTTCTTGACCATATTATTTAACAACTTTTATTGTCTGCAAAGAAAATTATTCAAAAATCTGTATTTTATAGTTCCAGTTTTGATTATTGAAATCATCAGCCATTAGAAAAGTTCTGGATTCCCTCCTTCCTATAGACTTGTATGGCAGATTTTGTAAACTCACATTTTGAAAGGACTTCAAAATTTAGTCTACCTACTATTGAAAATAATACAGTATTTGTTTTTCATATGTGAACCCATATATTTTCAGAAAAGATGGCCTGATGCAATATACAACTTTAAGTGGTAATAGCAATAGAAATTAGACTTATATGCTGCTTCACAGTGGTTTACAGGTCTTTCTAAGTGCTTTACAGAGTCAGCATATTGCCCCCCAAATCTGGGTCCTCATTTTACCAGCCTCAGAAGAATGAAAAGCTAAATCAACCTTGAGCCGATCAGGATCGAACTTCTGGCAGTTGGCAGAATTAGCCTGCAATACTGCATTTTAATCACTGCACCATCACAACTCAGCAATAATAAAATTATTATTTAATAGAAACAAAAATAAATAACAATAAAACCTTATGTCACATTGTTAAAACAACCATTGATACCTGATAATGCATATACTGTAATTCAGGACGGAAATGCTAGCTTATAAAAATAAGTTTCTAAATTATTATTGAAAGTGATGAGAGAGGACAAAGATCATAATGGGAAGAAAATCAATTGTACTGGGGTTCCAGATCTAGTTGATTCCAATTGGGACTCCTTCTTGGGCAGCATTTTCAGCAAACACTCGGTGAGTGGACCAGACAAGTAGAACATAAAGTCACATATTTAGCAAGTTTAATATTAATCAATCCCTGGTTTTGCTCCAAATACAGACCCTTAATATTGTTACTCCTCGAGTACGTCCAGAAGATTGCAGCATTGGGCTTTTGCCAAGGAATCATGATAAGAATCGCTGCATGGATGTACTTCCTTTGGATCGGTGCCTCCCCTTCCTTATTTCTGTTGATGGAGAATCAAGCAACTATATTAATGCTGCACTCATGGATGTAAGTAAAGCTCTTTTTTTTAAAAAAAGTGAAATGAAATAAAACTGAATAACTTGGAGCACTATTATCTTTCTATCACATTCATATCCCTGCTTCTTCCAAAGAACTGAAAAAGGTATAAATACATTGCATCTCACTTTTATCCTGTTGGATCAGTTGGGCTGATAAAGAGTGATTGCCATTGCTAGAAGGGAATTTGAGACCAAAAGTACAAAATAAAATATGAAAGAATTATCAAGCTTTTTTCAAAGTGAAAATTTAGAAATTGGGTAAGGATTGACTTTATGACTGCATATGTAAAAATGAATTTAAATGAAAACAATCAAATTCTATCAATTTTAGCTGATAATGACCTGTTTCGGTGTAATATTCCTTTCATTCTATAAACGATCACTTTTAAGAGCATGATATGGGAAGGATATCTCCCATAAGTTAACCACAAAATGACACATCATAAGGGGTGGGGAATGACTCTGATATGTATTTTTTGTATAATATATATTTACTCTAGATTCAGTGTCTGTAGTCAGCTGTTTGTGTTACAATTGTTACAGTATAAATCTTTGAATCTGACTTTGAAAGAAATAAATCCAAAATGTAATCCCATATTTTTCCTTCTTTCTCTCCTTTGTTATTTAACATACACTCAGTTACGATTACAAGTGAGCACTTTTGCTATAAAATCTAAAGTTCGCATGTTTCACAATTTAAATAAATAAATACCTTCAGCTGCAGTATGTAATCTTCTCAGAGTGACTCACAGGCATTGTGATAGCAAGTATGCATGCATCTGTTATCTAACCATTGAGTGCACAGGGCCTTTACTGCTTCACTAAGCAAAAGCTGTTTTTTTTTAAACAAATCTTCTGTGTCTAACTTTGAGCAGCTGCCAGCAATAAAACTGTTTTGTTTTTGTTTATCTTTCCAAATATTCCACATAGAAACAAATTCCACAGTAAATGCTGAAGTGTTTCTCATGCTACGTGCCTTCTTTCTGACCTACCTTGATTTCAGATGTGGCTTGCATTTATAAGTGCCTAACTCTGTAGCCATATATGTTGTATCATATATTCAGGACACACCAACATGATGAATTCATTGCTATAAAATATCTAATTGTAAAAAAAAAAACTTAAAAAAACAATCAGTCAAACATAGCTATATATTTCCAAGTCTTATTCTGTCCCTTAAATAAACAAAAATATTACATTATTTTAAAACATAGTCTTCTTTTCTTTAAAATCATCCCCAGGCAGGATAAATACCATTACATATGAAAATGGAAGAAAGAATGCTGGTTCTCTGCCATATGGAAGCCTATCTTGGAAGTTGCTTGGAGAATAGAAAAGGGAAAGTTGGGTGTACCTTTTGGAACACATGGCTGTATCTTGGTGTCCCTCTAGTGATGACTTGTTTCCTTCCCTCACTAGTATGGTGACAGTGTACTCTAGAAAGCAGGACTTTCAGAGAGGATTTCAAGGAGGAATCTTCTACTGCTGTACATTTAAATCTTGCATGAGAGAAGAAGCTCAGGATCTGGGCAGTATTATTTCTGATATCTCTATTCACTCTTGTTACCTTGATGTAGATGAAGGAAAGTTCCTGGTTAATTAGGATTTTTTTTAACATACTCATTGATCTCTGGGTGTTTCTTTCTTCATAGCAATTCTTAGTTTATTTGCTTTTTAATATGTGTTTTACATTCTGTCAAGCTTTGCTGTCAAGGTGCATGATGCAGAATAACAAGGGTTTGGATTTTCTGTTACCCACTGTAAGAGTCTCATAAGAAATGGATGGCACTACCTCAGCATGGATCCTGATTTGTTTGGGTCTCAGAACCGGTATCTCTCAGAATATTAGTTAACTGCTTTAAGGAAATGAAAAATTTTAGACTTATCCCAAATCCTAATCCATGTTTATTCTACAAATGTTCAGAAGGGATCATTTATTTATTTAAATGATAAGCTGTAAGCAAAACGCAATAATACTTTAAATGTGTAATCTCCTTTTTATGCCAACATTTTTTTACATTCTAGCGCAGACATAATTTAGGATTTTTAAATCTGAGGGATGCTGATGGCAATGTAAATAGCAGGATCTGCCCTTGTTAGCCAAATGTTTGTCTCTAGATTAATGACAATCAGTAGTGGATTTCTAGAATCTTAACTATTGTATAAAAGAAGAAATGTTGGCAATTTTTTTTTCAATTGTAATGTTTCAGAATTAGCTAAAGAGTTTTAAATTTACTCGCTGTATTGATACTATTTTTGGGCCTATAATTGGGTCAATCTTCCTTAACTCCTGTTTATATATGGGGACAGTGGAAATTTGTATCCTGTTTGGATACAGCCAATATTATTCATGTAAGATAATCCCACCAACAGTGAGGCCCACCAATTAATGTACTTTTTCTAGGATTTTCTGTCTAAGAGATAAAATTATCTGAAATTCAGACTCAACTTCCTTTGGGATAAATGTGCTGCTTCTATCAATCACTAATACAATTAATTAAATTAAATGTAAATATGACTCAACTCTTGTGAGTGCATCCATTCAGTTTCCTTGGCAGTATTATGGCTGTAGTTTTCCATTTGCCTTCGGCTTCTTGTTTTTGTTGTATTCTCCTATCTAGCCAGCAGCTCTGAAATTCCCAGCTGGATTTCCCACCTAAGCATTAACATCTACCCAAAATAAATGCTAAGGGAAAATATGTCTGAAACATAATTGATACATCCCAACTTTTGGAGATTTTTTTTGGTACCAGTAGTATGAAGCTAAGCCCTTGAAAAGGAAGAAATAGTTGTTTAGTTGAGGGTAGCTGAACTTATTGTGTCAACTTAATTTATCAGATTCCAGCTTTCCCATTATAGATTTCCTTAGGAAAAGTCTTGTTTCCAGCTGGCGCGTTGAGTCATTTATTCTAATTGTTATGCAAACGGAATAATTCTTGTTCCTATGCTTCTTCCCTAATGAAATAAAAGCTTATCATGCAGGCAGTTTTCTATACAATGGGGTGGCAAAAACAGAGTATGTGATGTGATTTGTATAATCTGTTTATGTTAATCTGTTTGCCTATCCATAGGCTCCCTAGTGTAATATGCTTCTCAGTAAACAATAACAGGTTTTTGTCACTAATGTGAATCCTTCTACTCCATTGTTTTTTTCTTCCTTTAGAGCCACAAGCAACCTGCTGCCTTTATAGTTACTCAGCATCCATTGCCCAACACTGGAGCTGATTTCTGGAGGCTTGTGTTTGATTACAACTGTTCTTCTGTTGTGATGCTGAATGAAATGGATGCTGCTCAAGTAGGTGGATTGCTTAAGAAATAAGTATGTATGGATCAAGCATTTTTAGTTACTATTGGACCCATGTTAAATACATTGGATAAATGCATTAATTGGATTAGTTTGGTCAGCTCTGATAATAATTCCCATCATTAAACAAGAATTTAGGTTAATGAGATGCAAAGGTGAACAGTAATTTGCAAACTTGGGACTGAGGATCAAGAGAATGAATTCCTTTGTATTTGTCATTAATTATTTTATGTTGTATGCAGAGTATGTTCAAGGTGTCTTTAATATAAATGAACATTCTAAGATTTTGTGTTAAAGTGGGTGTTTTGCATTTCTCCCTTTTCCCTCCTGATTTATGTTTGTTTTCCTTTTGTTATGATCAGCTTTGTATGCAGTACTGGCCAGAGAAGACATCTTGCTGTTATGGGCCAATCCAAGTGGAATTTGTCTCTGCTGACATAGATGAGGATATTATTAATCGGATATTTCGGATCTGCAACATGGCAAGGGTAAATAGAAGTCAAATAATTTTCTATCCATATTCAGTCTGCAGTTATTAATTAGGATACCTTGGGATAATATAGGTGGTATGATCATGTTGTTACTGTTCTTCGGCCTGTCTGCCTGTCTCTTTTGAACATAGATCTTCAGATAGGTTAGATTTATTGAAAGGGTCAGTTATAGGAAATGAAGACAAAATAGTTCTTTTGTTCCATTTTATTTGTTCTCTATTAGTCAATTTACTCTTTATCATTCTACAAGATGTTAGAATGATCTCCGCTCTTTGCTTATTATCTTGCTTTTATAGTTTTAGACCCCCATCAATTTGCAGTACTGGCAAATATTTCTATAAGTGGGGCTTATTTCCTAATTTCTGCCTTGTTTTTTTATAAGCTATATCTTATCTCTCCTAGCTACTCTCTATTTATCCTTGAACTTGAATTTTGGAAGCATGTAATAGACTAGAACAGGATGACAGATATGAATCCAGGTTTTGCATGAGAAACATCAAAGAAATGCCCAATCTAGGATTATATATAATTATAAATTTTAGTATAAATTGGTTATTGTTCATAGCTTCCTCTAATATGGGCAGTCAGCTAATACAGATATTCCTCGACTTATGACCACAATTGAACCCAAAATTTCTATTGTTAAGTGAGACATTTCTTAAGTGAGTTTTGTCCCATTTTACAACATTTCTTGCCACAGTTGTTAAATTAACTTATCACTGTAGTTGATACGTTACTAACCAAGTTGTTAACTGAATCTGGCTACCCCATTGACTTTGCTTGTCAGAAGGTCACAAAAAGTGATCACATGACCCTGGAACTGGTGATAAATATGAACCAGTTGCCAAGCGTCTGAATTTTGATCACCTGGTCATGGGAATACTGCAAAGGTCATAACTGTGAAAAACAGTAATAAATCACTGTTTTCAGTGCCATTGTAATTTTGAACCATCGCTAAATGAACTGTTATAAGTTGAGGACTACCTATATAAACAAAAGATAAAGACTAACATGGTTTCAACATTTCCCATTTGACAGTCCCTCTTTCATTACTCTGTTCTATATATCAAACTTAACTCTTTACTCTGCTACAAAGCATTGACGATGGAAACAATTTCTCTAACAACAGATATGGTATAAAATATCCCCTTTAACCTATTATTTGTATGTATAATTGTGCCTGCAAAGAAGACAGAAGAGTCAGACTATTTATCAGCTACAATTTTCTTTATAATGCTTTTAGAAAATAATTGCCGTGTTAATGCTAAATATGCTCTGGATATTCAATCTTTTGAAGTAATTAACTGAATACCATTATTGTCTGTTAATTAAAAATGATTTTTCTTTCCATTTTTAAAAGAATAGAATTTAGTTTTTTATTCTAGAGCTGACATTGTCCCCAAATTTGCTCATCACATTCAAGAAAGAACTTACAGCTTCTATTACTAGTAACTAAGTCTATGTGGTATATTTCCCGATGATGCTTACAAAAGGCTTTCTTAACATGGCATCATTGTTTCCACTCTGAAGCAGGAAAAGTGTTTCCTTAATTTTTCTATTATAACTGAAGAATGTTCTAGTATGTATGCTTATTAAAAGACCACCTGGGATAAACACTTCTGAAAATATTCCCCAATTCCTGCAGCCAAAATGAATGAGAAATCTTCTTTCAGAGTTCTTAAAATACAACACATGATCTTCTGTGGGTATATACCTTCCTTTTCATGATTCAAGCAATCTGCATTATTTTCTTTAGCCGCAAGATGGGTACCGTATTGTTCAACACTTGCAGTATATTGGCTGGCCAGCATATAGAGACACTCCTCCTTCTAAGCGCTCTCTCCTGAAAGTGGTCAGGCGGTTGGAAAAATGGCAGGAGCAATATGATGGGCGAGATGGTCGGACTGTGGTTCATTGCCTGTAAGCATTTCTGCATCCTTGTTTTCTGTATTAAGTCTGGATTGCCTGTCTGAAAAGAAGAAGCATTGCAAACATGGTCACTTTGGCGGATTACCCTGTACTGTTTGATACACATAATTAAAGAAAACCTGAAGATCCAAATGTCTGCATAATACAGCATTATAGTATTATAGAGCTAAAAATCAGTATGTTGTTTGTTTGTTATCATTAAGCCTGACTCTCAATGACTCTGGTTCAATGGTCATTCTAAGCTGCTCCCCTTCTCCATTCTTCAGTCCTAGAATATTTATGTTGTGATGTCTGATGGATGAGTCTCATTACTCTAGATCACTGAGAAATGTTGAATGATGGCTAAATCAGCATGTACAGTATGAATACTGTACTGCCAGAAAAAAATGTACAGCTGGAAAAAAGAAAGTGAAAACTATCCAAGGATGCCAAACATTGATGATAACCTGTTCTTATTAATTATGTGGTCCAGACATATCACACATTGATATGATGAGATATGATATATTATGATATGATAGAACTTACATTGTGCGTCCCAAGAAAAATTAGAATGCTACTATGTCTGCTGTTTCTGTTCTGAATATCAATGTCATTCAATTATTTTTATGAAAAACGTTCATGCAAGTAAATTGTATATAGGGCTGTTACATGTAATTGGTAGTCTTGCATTTGGGTAGATCTCTTAGATCTCCTTGGAGTACTCTTCTATTATGAACATATGTAATTTCCTAAACCAGCTCTTATTTGTGCTAGGAATGGTGGTGGCCGCAGTGGCACCTTCTGTGCCATATGTAGTGTATGTGAAATGATCCAGCAGCAAAATATCATTGATGTATTTCACATAGTGAAAACCTTACGGAACAACAAGTCCAACATGGTGGAGACTTTGGTAAGTATAATAGATTGATTGCTTCTTGTTTCTTGAAATAAAATATTCCAGTTTCTTTTTGTTTCTAAGATTCTATTTTGGATGTATTATTCAGATAATAGCAGAAGTTGCATTATGTACTTAGAAAACTCCTAAGGAACACTTCTTTTAAAATACATTTCAATTACTTTTGTTTTGAAAGGTGGGCAAACAGCATATACCCATAGTTAATAAAACCTATTAAAATAAAATCCATTTAATTCAGTATTCAAAAAACCCTTAAAGAAGGAGAGGTTTTACACACTTCGACAATAATTCAGAAGAAGGCTTTTTTTAAAACCTTGTACAATCAGAGCACTTCTCTGTTATTCAATAAAGCTTTTCAGGTTCCAGGCGAGCCTGAATGAAAGGTGTGACTGTTTTAAGAATTGCTTTGAAAGATTTCCAGTCTTCTTACTCAAAGTCTGTGAAACTTTGTTCAGAATTGTTTTCAAACTCTGGGTGCAAAATAGAAACCTTCAGTGTTCTACATGTGACCTATGATATTATCTCTCCAGTACAGAGAAAATGCTGTGAGATAAGCTGTATCTATGGGCAAGTACACACACAGCAAACACACTGCCCCACAGACACATAGATCTTTGAGGGTGGTACTTATGTGTTTGCTTACTGAGATTTTACATAATATATTCTACATTCTAAGACTATGCCCAGTGGTAATTTATAGGCTGTATTTATTTACTTAATAATCCTAATACTGCTTACCTGTCCATTCAGAATCAGAATAGAGCTGAAAAAGACCCAAACATGAACAAGCCAATTTTAACCATACTGAAAGAATAAAATATAAATTATTAAATAATATAAAATAACTTTAAAATAAATAGGGAAATATATGGATTAGTTATAGAAAGGTTACTAGTGGCACAGTGGGCAGATATTAGCATCATCTGAAAATTCAGGCACAATATAAAGTCAGGGAAAATGTTTGGGTTCTTTCTGGGGGAATACAACTCCTTCTAAACCAACTTGAATTCAATTGTCAAGCCAGCATCTCAGCCTCATTCAGTCAGACAATATGAACATTTAGTCTCCTTGCTTTATATGAGATGACATAATGAGACAGCTGAGAGATGACAGAAAGAGAGCTTCAATATATTGGTGAAGCTTAGGCTAAAAATAGTCCATGTGGAACTGGTCTATAATTTTTAAATCAACAGGATCAAGTATAGGTTCTTAACTACTTTAAATAAAATTGAACAATTGCCTCTCTTTTGTATGGCTGTTCAGAAGATTATACTAATAGAAACATTATGATAACCATGAATAAAGTAGACATATATTTTAGGCACCCTTTATCCCAACTATTGAAAGAAAGCATGTCCATTTATTTCCTGTGGATTCTTCCCCCCTCCTTCTCAAATTACTTAATCGTAGTTGAGCTATATCTATTAATTTCAGTAGGAATAAGGTAACTAGCAAATAATATAGAAAGTTTCTTACATAGACACATACAGTATACACATATTGCAACTTTTAGCTGACTGTGTTCAGCAGGTCAGCGGTTCAAATCTCACCGGCTCAAGGTTGACTCAGCCTTCCATCCTTCTGAGGTAGGTAAAATGAGGATCCAGATTGTTGGGGGCAATGTAAATATATATATACATTGCTTACTGGTGTGCACCGCTTAGAGAGTGCTTGCACTTAAAGTGGTATATAAGTCTCATAAATAAATAAATAAATCTCAAATCTCAACTCAGTCAAAATGGGATATCAATGTAAGATACTGAATCATATGATGATAATACTAAAAAATCTGCACTAGAGTGTGATTGTTTTGTAAGCACAATTTAAGATACTAAATTGGGTTAATCTTTAAGGCTTTAAATAATTTATAGATGTGGTTCCCAAACTCTTCACTGGCACTCCAGTCGTACAAGAGTATTCCATGAAAAAATTACTGAGACACAAGTACTTCACAATGTTATGAACTGAGAAAGTTTGGGAATCTCTGACTTTTTGCGAGATGACTTCTGCAGATACTAAGTTGTCCAGACATGTTGAAGCTTTCCATATAATAGGAGTTGCAGAAGAAGGACTTTTGAAGTGCTCTACTTTTACAGAAAGTTAGTTATTCATCAGATATTTGGAAAAGGTCTTCTCCTAGATCTGGGGTAGGCAACCCTGGCTCTTTTATGACTCGTGGACTTGAACTCCCAGAATTCCTTTTTTCTCCAAGGTTTTTTTTATTAATTTTACAATATTACATTTACATATTTGAAAAGTAGTGTGGCGGCTGAGCACAGTAATTCCATTACATTTGAATATCATCAGTACAAATCTCAAAGTATTACAACAACTAATTCCCTCTCTTTCTTCCATAATATCTACTGTCATGTTCGAACCAATACAGTTCTTATTCTTTTTTATTTTTTATTTTTCTCTTTACAAAAAACAAAATACAAAGTACATTTTTCTTTTTTCTTAACAATACTATGTCTTATATCTCTTACATTTATTTACAATTATTTACATTACTTCTCATACTTTTTTATTCCTCAATTCTAACCAATTGTAATATATGTCCCATATCTCATAAAATTCTGTAGCTTCCTTGTCTTTTATTTCTAGAGTAAATTTGTACATCTCAGCACATTCTAGAATCTTGTAAATAATCATTACATTTGTTGGTATATTTTCCCTTTTGCAGCATTGCGCATATGCAATGTGTGCAGCAGTTATTATGTGTATAATGTATTGAAGTTGTTTTTCCATCTTTGGATTGATTATGCCTAACAGGAATATTTTGGGTTTAAGTTCAATTTGTTCTTTTGTTATTTCCTGCTCCCAATAAGTCTTTGCTTTGGGGCATAGCCACCACATATGATAAAATGTTCCCTTTTTATTTTTACATTTCCAACAGTCCAGATTCATATTTTTATACATCTTAGCCAATTTCGCCGGTGCTAAATGCCATCTATAGAACATTTTATATTGGTTTTCTTTGTATGCAGTTGACAGCGGTAGTTTGTAATTTTTGTTCCATACTCTTTCTCATTTATCTAATTCTATATTTCTACCTATATTTCATGCCCATACTATCATTGGACCTTTTACTATTTCTTCTTCCAATTCAACTTGTAATAAAAGTTTATAGGTTTTTGTTAAACATTTTCCTCCATTGCTTGTCAATATTTTGTCCAATTGCTGTGGTATCTGACTTATTCCATACTCTTCCATATCTTTGCTATATTTTGATTGTATCTGTAAATATGGCCACCAATCAATAATTATTCCCTGTTCTTTTAATTCCTCCCTTGATCTAAGATTTCCTTGATTGTCTAATAATTCTTTATACCTTATCATCTTTATTTTATCCAGTGTGTTTGGTGAATCATTGCCTCCATTGGTGAGGACCAATTTGGAATTTTCATATGAAAAATGAGATAATAAAAGCACAGTCTAGCACAATACCAACAAAGAGGAAAAACAACAACTCTCAAAAGAAACCAGCATGGCTGCATAAAGAACTCTCTGACAAATTGAAAGATAAAAAGGACAAGTATAGAAAGTGGAAAGAGGGGAACATAACTAAGTCAGAATATCAGCAAATAGCCCGAGCCTGCAAAGATGAAGTGAGGAAAGCCAAGGCTCAAAATGAACTAAGGCTTGTGACCAAAGTCAAAAATAACAAAAAAAGCTTCTTTCAACATGTAAAAAACAAGAAAAAAGTGAAAGAAATGATTGGTTCATTAGTGGGTGGAAGTGGCAAGAAGGTGACAAGCAACAGGGAGAAAGCAGAACTATTTAATTCGTTTTTTGCATCTGTCTTTACACAAAGGGAAAAAACAGACCAACCTATCAAAAATAGTGCCATAAAAAACAAAATAGAAACACAAGTTAAGATGGGCAAGAAAATGGTAAGTGAGCACCTGCCAGCCTAGATGAGTTCAAATCGCCAGGACCAGATGGATTACACCCCAAGGTTCTCAAGGAACAAGCAGATGTGATATCGGAACCACTGAACTATATTTTTCAAAGATCCTGGAACTACCAGAGGACTGGAAAAGAGCTAATGTAGTTCCCATCCTCAAAAAAGGAACAAAAATGGATCCAGGAAATTACAGACCTATCAGCCTGACCTCAATACCTGGGAAGATCCTGGAAAAGATAATCAAGCAATGAATCAACGAACATCTAGAGGCAAACAAAGTCATTACTAAAAGCCAACATGGGTTTGTCAAAAATAGATCATGCCAGACAAATCTTATTGCATTCTTTGACCAAGTGACAAAATTAGTGGATCAGAGGAATGCTGTGGACATAATTTACTTGGACTTCAGTAAGGCATTTGATAAAGTAGATCACAACCTACTACTTGATAAGATAGAAAAATGTGGGGTAGACAGAATCACCACCAGATGGATCCGTAGCTGGCTGACCGGCCGTACTCAGCGTGTGGTTCTCAATGGAACTGCATCTATATGGAGGGAAGTGTGTAGTGGGGTGCCCCAGGGCTCTGTTCTGGGCCCAGTGCTCTTCAATATCTTCATCAACGATTTGGACGAAGGGATAGATGGGGAACTCATCAAATTTGCACACGACACCAAGCTGGCAGGAATAGCCAACACTCCAGAAGACAGGCTTAAGATACAGAAGGATCTGGACAGACTTGAACACTGGGCACTAACTAACAAAATGAAATTCAATGGTGAAAAAACCAAGGTTCTACATTTAGGCAAGAAAAACCAAATGCACAAGTACAGCATAGGTGGCACCATGCTCAATAGTAGTAACTGTGAGAGGGACCTCGGAGTCCTAGTAGACAATCACTTAAATATGAGCAAGTAGTGTGCTGCAGCTGCCAAAAAGGCCAACACAGTGCTAGGCTGCATTAACAGAGGGATAGAATCAAGATCACGTGAAGTATTAATGCCACTCTACAATGCCTTGGTAAGGCCCCACTTGGAATACTGCATCCAGTTTTGGTCACCACGATGTAAAAAAGATGTTGGGACTCT